GAAATTAAAAATTAAAAAATAATTAATATTCATTTTATTTAATCAACAAGGGTAGAATCGGTATACATTTGTAACCCCTCAATTTCTTACCAAAATTCAAACATTTTCCACAACATAATTCTGAGCGTTCATATAATTACTCCACAAATCCGACACCACCGTCGTCACCATCTCCACCACACCCTCCACCACCGCCGGTATCTCCTCCGTCAACCCATCAAACCCCAACTTCATCTTCTCCACCACCCCTACCGCCGCTGCTCCGGTGGCTGAAACCGACCCAAAAACACCCTCTTTCACAAGATCAAAAACCAGACCAACAATCCCACTGATCACCTCCATAACCACCTCCAAAACGTACCCAATACAAGTTCTGATCAGATTTGCGATTTGCTCCATTGCGGATTGCAGAGCTTCTCCAGGGACTCGGAGTCCTTGGATTGCGATAACGAGGAGGTATGCGGTGGTGTTGAAGATTAAATGAGATAGAAGGTTTGCTACATGGTTATGGTGGAGAAGATGAGGTTGATGAGGATGAGGACCGCCATTGATGAAAGCTTGGAAGGTCTACAGGAGAAGATGAAGACTTAAGATGGACGTCTGGTTTTAAAGAATAATGAAGGCATTGGTTGGGTTTGAGATTGACTTGATGTTATAGTTTAATTAAACGGATCAACTTTAAATACAATGCAACGTTGCTCAYCATGAAACTAGTTCATCAATCCCCAATCAATTACAAAATGAAAATGTTTCACCAACATCAACCTATTTGCTTAACTATTTCATAATGAAACCTTTTCACATAGAAAAATTTACATAAACATTATTGTCATATACAATAAAGTGAAACTGTTTCACCATCAAACTAGTTCTTCAATCTCGAATCAATTACAAAATGAAAATATTTYACCAGCCTGAACCTATTTGATTAACTATATWATAATATGAAACYTTTTYACATGGAAACATTTACATTCACATTAGCTTCATGTACAACAAAATATACTATGCACCAGCTTCATGATATGTATATTTCATAAATAACAAAAATCCATTATGCACCCGTTTCATTTCATTCTACCAACTAAACAGATCAACCTCAATTAAAATGCAACGTTGTTCACGATAAAACATGTTCATCAATCACGAATCATCAACATAATGAAACTGTTTCACTAACATCAACAAATTTGATTAACTAGTTCATAATGAAACCTTTTCACATTGAACATTTACATGAACCTTAATTTCATAAAAATGAAATAAAACTGTTTCATCATGAAACTAGTTATTCAACCTCGAGTCAATTATAAAATRAAAATGTTTCACCAACATCAACCTATTTGATTAACTATTTCGTAATGAAACCTTTGCACATCGAAAGAGTTACATGAACATTAATTTCATGTTCAATAAAATGAAACTGTTTCACCATGAAACTAATTATTTAATCTCAAATCAATTATAAAATGAAAAATGTTTTTACGAACATGAACCTATTTAAATAACTATTATATAATGAAACCTTTTCATATTGAAACATTTACATGAACCTTAATTTCATATAAAATGAAATAAAACTGTTTCATCATGAAACTAGTTCTTCAACCTCGAGCCAATTATAAAA